GAGAAACCAGGCTGTGGTTATGGTGGCCATGTCTGAAACCAGTGCCTGTTAGAGCAGCCTGTCAGCTGTACAGTGTAGCTGAATGTCAGCTCTGCCATTTTATTACAAATTAATGAGGCGAGGCTGGAGATCTGAATGTAATCCCGGGCAAAGTGTGACATCGAACACAGCGAAGCAAAAGTGACACTAAATCTGCAGACAAAAGCTTCCATTTCAGCTCTATGTGCTGTTTTGTTAAACCATTTTTCTGCTAAACTAAATGCAGTTTGTGAATAATTTCTTATTCATGTGTGATTTAACTATTAAAAATGAAAAATACAATGAATCCATGGTATTTTTCACACTTATTTAGCATTCCTGTTTTCCGTGCCACGGACCCCCCCAACCCCTTCATCCGTAACACGACTCTGCTCAGATCGAACCGTGCACCCTTTCTCCATCTGACTGACAAGACTTAGCAGGTGGCAGGACCCATTCGTACCCATGGTTCTGCAATCTGCACAAGCCTGTAACTCAAGCCTGCATGCGTCCCGAACACTGATGCAAAGACACGAGATATTTTCCAATGTCCGTGCTCATACAATACTTTTGTGTACACAGACAAAAATGTACTTCGACTGTGTACAACTATTGCAATCGCTAAATAAACAAGAACTGGCCTAATTCCGCCTTCTGTTGTGGCATGTGAGCTCGGATTATTTTCGGATCATTTTTGTTTGAACTGAATTTTCCAAAGCAAATATCACTGCATAGGGATGTATTTGCCAGTAACTGGGGAGATTTGTTTCACTCCAAAACAGAGACCATGGAGAGAAAAATAACTGATGCATGGAAAGAAATGTCACTAAACTCACAGAATCATGCAAACACTTTAGTTGCAGTCTGCAATCAAACAAGTGAAAGACTGCTTTATATGGCGGCATGTGCGGTGTTTTTGTTTTGCAATAGGAGCACAGGCATCTGTGGGGTAATACATGCTCACACACATTCATTACACCATCTCTCAGCTAGTGGACCCAAATGGTCGGGAGCTTAGCGAACGCTGCGGTCAGATTTGTGAGTCGGTGCAAAGGAAGGGAATCTATTCAAGTTTAACATGAGGGCATATTCGAAATGAAAGCTGCTGCAAAACATTGGTTTTCCTATTGAAATGTGGCTGCGTGGGAGAAAAGAGGAAGGTGGTTTAGTGTGTATTTGTGTGTGTGTGTGTGTGTGTGTGTGTGTGTGTGTGTGGGAGTCTGTCCAAACAGAGTTGAATAGATGGATAACCAAATGGATGGATATGTATTAACTGAGCTGCAATCAAAAGGACAGGAAAAGAAGACATGTTAAAAAAATTACCCACACACAGTCTGTTGAAGATTGCACTTAGGGGTTTGTGGTGTTGTGGTTCCTTGAGAAATGACTGAGCCACAGGAGGGAGAGGAAGAAAAGAACTATGAGAAAAGGAAAGAATGGGAGGGAGATGGAGGCAGGCATCTCCACGGCTGGCACGTTGGGAGAACACCTTGTAATTATCCACATCCGCTCTGTCAGCTGCAGCCAGCGGAACGGACAGATACAGCGGAGAGTTTCTCCGAACGCGATGCTCAGACACTAATTCACCCATCAAAGAGAAACTAGTAAAAAATAAAACATGCAAACACCCACAAACATACCAACTGCACATACTTTCACAGGCAGGCACACCCACACACTCACACGGGCTTATTATGGGGGCTCAGGCCAGACAACTCTGTGTGGTTCCACACCAAGTGTCTATTTTAAAGGGTTGCGGGCCAAATGTCTCTTTCTCAGTCTCACTCTGATTCGCCTCCTCAGTTCTGCCCGTTTAGTGGCAGCAGTAATGGCATGAAAAGGTCAGATAGCAGAGCTCTGGGGTTCCTGATCGTTCTCTTTTCTTTTGAGTTTTGCCTTCTTTACAAGCACTCAAAGAGGGTCAAGTTTTGTACTGTATGTGCTGTAAGTGCCTTGACTGACCTTTAGGGGTCAGCGTTACTCCTGATGGCTGCTTCATGGTGGAGTGTTGTGCACTGGAACTTGACTGTGTGCAAATACGGACAGAGCTACGGAAGGTGCATCAGCATCCTTACAGCAGGATTCTTCACGTCTTTTAAGTTTCAATCATTTCCATCAGATGCTCACAAAATATGATCTGTGCTGAGTTCTTAGGTTTTAGTTTGCCTTCATTGTGGCCAAGGGGAGGAAAATCAGCACTTTTTGAGTCTCAAGGAGAAGAGAAAATCATTAACTGCTGCGATCATCATCGTTGCGTCCCCAGTGAAACCGTAACCTTTTTGCTGAATGTCTAACTGACCCCACTGGGAAATCATTTACTCTCCACTCGCTCTGCCAGCTGTCCCACGAGAGGTCATTCTGTCTACCTGTCTCCATTCATTCAGTCGTTCTCTGTTGCAAAATGCTCACCCGGCAGTCGTTTGCCTGTCTTTTCCACATGATGAAAATGCTTTACTCCTGTGTGACGATCAATCCCCCAGGGGCTTGTCATCAGCTCTCATTTGAGGATGATTTCACGCGACTCTGCCTGGCTATTTTCTGACCGGTCCAAGTCACAGAACATGCTAGCTTTTGAGGCCGTCCTGGGAATGCGATGCCCCTACGCCAGGGCCTCTAGCTCAGGAGGTTTGCTTGTTTGGCTGTCTTCCCCAAGAGGATTCCTCCCTGTTGTTTATTTGACTTAATTACTATGCTGGCTTCACGCAGAGAGAAGGGATGAGTGACACTCTACTTAACAATCAGCCTCCCTTCTTTTTGCGTCACCTACAGTATGTCTGCCAGCTTGTCCTTCATTAAAAGCAAATCTCCCCTCCACCGCCGTCCTCCACAATGTGGGCGTCAGCCGAGAATTGTCTCCTGACAGACATCCAGAGAGCCGTCAAACACCTGTGGGCCTGAAACATGCGAAATGCCGGCATGCGGTGGCACACACAAAGACGAGTGGCACATGATACGCTCTTGTGCCTTTACGCCCAACGTCGGCTCACTCTGACGGGCACGAAGCACGGGCCAACAACCAGCTGCAATCGCACGTTCGATAGAAAATCCCCAGCTCAAAGAGAAAACATTAAATAATATTTGGAAGATGAAGCGCGAGCACATGTGCAAAACCAGGTGTGTGATGTACGAGGACACGCAGTCTGACACGTTTTTGCCTCGCTGAAACACTCGCAAGTCCAGGGGGAGGAAATCACAAGAGAGAGGGTGTTGAGTCCTCACACCAAGACGCAGCAAGAACATTCGCACAAAAGCGGCTTTAATGTAAGCATGATTATCTTGCAAGGACTATCGAGTAGTGATTCAAGTTCCCAGTTTCTTAGTTTGACTGTGCACATCCGTCGCTCAAACGCACAAATGCACTCTTTGATACTCCATGACATTTCTCTTGTCTCACACGTTTGTCAGCAACATTGTCAGACTGAAGAGCAACGGGGATCACAGAACAGAGCAGTCAGGAACTAGATTCATGTTCTTTAAACAGCTGTCTGTATGAAAGAAGGGACGGGGTGACTGATCGAGCTCAAGGGAGTTTGTTCAACTTTCCCCCCAGGAGACCTTTGGCTTTGACATTCAAGTCATTTCAGTCAGTCCCATTTTTATTCTGGATTTAGGACGGAGGCAGTCATACTCATTATAAAAAGCTGAAAGGGTGATAAAAGGAAATATACTGCCCTCAAAATTACAACTTGCACTTCATCTAAAGAATAAAGCATGTCATATAGCAGGCCTCTAAGCACAAGTTGCACTAAATGCCTTGTCTAAAGATAGAGATGAATCTGTGACGGACATCACATCCAGCCCTTGTTCGTGACCAACGTTTGACTCTACCTTTAAAACAGGCGAAAAAATCTAATTGCCTGAGAAACCAAAGCTCTGAGTGACAATCAAATGCACTTTCAACCACACACACGCTCGCTGTTTTAGCTGCAAATCAGCCTGTTCATAAATTTTCAGAGGGCGTGATTTAGTGGACGGGACTAAAATAAAGAATCGAAACACCACACCTCTAGCCACGTAGTTTCAGTCAGAAAAAAATCCCCAAAATATGGCAAAAATGCTGCCCGTTATTTTTGTCCAAGATGAAAAGTCTGCCATTACAAAAAGCCTGATTTAGTGTAGGGTGTGAGAGAAGAGACGAGACAGTGAGAGAGAGAGAGAGAGAGAGAGAGAGAGAGAGAGAGAGAGAGAGAGAGGCAGGGAGGAGGAGGAGAAGAGGAAGGACCGGCGCTCCGCAGTCTCCCCTCAAAATAACACAGAAGAAGAGAGAATAACATGTTTGCTATATATGTCAAAAACGTACTCATGCACTGTAGAAAAAGACAAACTCTCTCTTGTTCTCCATCAAAAGATGTGATTTAGTGAGGAAGCATTAAATTACAACAGATTTAAAGTCTCCAACTGTTGAATCCATTTAGGAGACAGTGAAAAGAAGTCCCAAAACCTGTTTGGTCCATTGAAGAAGGGCTCTGACCAAAGCCGACCCCGACCATTATCACCGTTTCAGGAGAATTCAAACAGAGGCTGTGTTGCTTTTCCAGAGCACTTAACAACGCCATGCAGTATTAACAGAAAGGGACAGCTCAAGAGGAAAAATGATACAGGGGCCAATATATGCATTTTACTTCAGGTCCTTCCACAACATATGGAAACAATCTTAACATTTGTTAAGAGAATTCTTAAAGAAAAGCAGCATGGGTGAGAGAGAGAGAGAGAGAGAGAGAGAGGTATAGGGAGAGAGGGGTACCCAAGGCTGAGAAGAGCGAGATCTTGTATGCTGACCAGGAGGGAAGAGTGGTGAATGAGACAAACCGAGGCAGAAATAGACTGACTCAGATAAAGGAATACTCAACATGAATGCATGAAAAGAAATGTATAAAAGAGCACCCATAGGCAAGAAAAATAAACAGTGCTGGATTGAAAGCACCTTCTACCACAGTAATCCGGTATAACCTGGAGTCAGGGAGGACAGAGAAAGGGCTTACCCTTGTATGACAGCTTTAGTCTTGGTACATTGTGCTTGGGCTCAACTCCTCTCCCAAGCTGCACTGCAATACACAGCAGCACTACAGTCCCAAGCAGGTAATCCATGGTGCTGGAGTGCTGCTGGCTGGCCTCCAGACCAGGGGGGCACTCACAGCCTGACCCCGAGATGAGTGTCCTCCGCTGAGGTACGTTGAGCCTGGAGGGTCCCCCCCACACGAGTCCTATAAGTAGACTTTCCAAGAAGAGGGGCAAAATCCTGGCTGTGCTTCCCAAATCAGAGTGCCGGCTGTGGGGCAGTTCTGTTGTGTGAAGTCGGTGGAGGGGTGCTGCTCACATGGCTCCCCGTATTCAGGTCCAGGGTACAATGATCCTTTGGTTAATCTGTCCTCTCCCAGGTGAAGGCTCAGTGATCCTACAGCTCGAATGGGATGAGACGTAGAGGCTGAATAAAAGTGAGTGCAGAACACCTACCCAGTTGTGCAAACCTATCCTTTTCCTAGAGATTCTCTGTTTTCTGTCCACTGGCTTTGAGCAGACACTCTCAGCAACCCCCTAATCCGTGTGTGCAGCTCCAACAGACTGCGAGAGAGATACACCATCCACAGGAAGGGAGGGGAGGGGAGGCAGAGCAGCTGAGCGAGAGGGAGGGTGTGCTGGAGGAAGGAGAGGTGGGTACTTGAGAGCAGCGATGAAGCCAGAGTCATGGGTAGGAAGTAGAACAGCCAGGATTTATAGCCCTGACTTTTCCGCGCCTGTTTCCTTTTGGGTTTGTCATTATCTTTTCTCTCTCTCTCTCTCTCTCTTCCATTATTCTCTCTAATTTCTAAAATGTATTATTCCTTTTCCTCCCTCTACTTAAATTCAAAGTTCAATTTCTGATAGATTTCATATATGAGGGATGAAAACAAGCTCGAAAGCCAAATAAATCCAAGAAGACAAAATAATAATATAAAAATCAGCCAAAGTCTTGATTTAGTCAGAAGCACATCATACGGTTCATTTCATTCATTTTTATTAACAAGAAATGTAAAGATAGACACTGATGAGTTTTCATCCATCCATCAACTTTCAACCGCTTATCCAGAGTCCGGTTGCCGGTGCAGCAGCCTAGGCCGAGAGGTCCAGTCTTCCCTCTCCCCAGCTAATTGAGCTAGCTCCTCCGGGGGAATCCCAAGGCATTCCCTGGCCAGCTGAGATATATAATCCTTCCAGCATGTCCTGGCTCTCCCCTCTCCTTCCAGTTGGACATGCCTGGAAAACCTCACCAGGGAGGCATCCAGGAGGAATTTTGGCCAGATGCCTGAGCCGCCTCAACTGGCTCCTCTCGACATGGTGGAGCAGTGGGTCTACTCCAGGCCCCTCCCAGATGACCGAGCTTCTCACCCTATCTCCAAGGGAGAGCCCAGCCACCCTGCGGAGAACACTCTTTTCGGCAGCTTGCATTCGCAATCTCATTTTTTCGGTCACTACCCAAAGCTGGTGGCCATATGTGAGGAAAGGAACGTAGATCGACTGGTAAATCATCCCAGCTGCTTTACACTCTGCTGCGAACTGCTCCTAGCCTGGAAAGCCAGACAACACTCCATTGACGGCTCTCGGTTGTGGGGCGGGTTCTATCATTGTCTTTCAAATGATCTCTGCATGCTACTGGACAATGAATGTGACATACTCTTGTTTCACTCTGTTGCATCATCCCACCCACCAGGCATATAGAGTGTCCTGATTGGCCCACAAAGCGGATAAAGCTCTGTGATTTGTTCACTAAGCAGATAGAGTACAGATTGGCCCACCATTATGGACCAATCACAGCTCTTTATGTGTTTGAAACCCCTCTAGAGAGCTGTGATTGGCCAGCCAGAATGCTGTTGGGGCTGCAGAGGTTCCAGTGGAGCTTTCCTTGACCACACTTTGCAAAGCAAGAATATGGTCTAGTTCACTAGGTTAAACTGCTCCAGCAAAAACTGGAGATCACTGTCTGATGAAGCCAATAGGGCCACATCATCTGCAAAACGCAGAGACCTGATCCTAAGGCCACCAAAAAAAAATCCCCTCAACAGCTCGGCTGTGCCTACAAATCCTGTCCATAAAAGTTATGAACAAATCGGTGATAAAGAGTAGCCAACTCACACCGGAAACAAGCTCAAGTTACTGCAGGCAATGTGGAGCACGCTCTGACACCAGTCATACAGGGACCTAACAGCCCGTATCAAAGGGCCTGGTACTCCATACTCCTGGAGTACCCCCCACACGGCCCCCTGGGGGAGGCAGGTGAACGCCTTCTCCAAACCCACAAAACAGATCTAGATTGGTTGGGCAAACTCCCACACACCCTCCAGGATCCCCCTAAGGGTATAGAGCTGATCCAGTGTTCCACGGCCAGAACGGAAACCACATTACTCCTCCTGAATCTGAAGTTCGACAATCTGACGGACCCTCCTCTCCAGAACCCCCAAATAGACCTTACCAGGGAGGCTCAGGAGTGTGATGAGTTTTCAACAGGCTGCAAATCTCTTTGGGATTTTTTTTTTGGACAATGGGTTTAACAAATGCTCTATTTGACAGCATGTGTAAAACAAAGCTACCATGACATTAGTTGTAGCTAGTGCTCCGCAGACATGAGTTCAACCAAGGACAAGCAAAGTACAATGTTGATTTGCTAAACAAAAAAAATGCATTTTTGTTCGTATTTACGTTACTTATTCTGCATTTGTGTCAAACATTGTCACCTTACCAGAAATATCTAGATTTTAGAACACTTATGTGTTTTTACAATATAAAATTCTACTTTTTAATTGTCTGAATTTACTAAAGTTTACAGTTTCTATTTCCTCCACAGGAGTCTTCCTGTAAAATTATTGATCACCACACACTTCAAGGTGGAATGCTAAAAGTTCATTTTACTGATGTCATTCAGTGTGAATTAGAAACTCAGAAACGTTGTTGCCGTCTTCCTCCGCTTATCCGGGTCCGGGTGGCGGGGGCAGCACCCCAACTAGGGAGCTCCAGACCGTCCTCTCCCCGGCTACCTCCACCAGCTCCTCCGACAGGACCCCAAGGCGTTCCCGGACCAGATTGGAGATGTAACCTCTCCAACGTGTTCTGGGTCGACCCGGGGGCCTCCTGCTGGCAGGGCATGCCCAAACCACCTCAACTGACTCCTTTCGATCCGGAGGAGCAGCGGTTCTACTCCGAGTCCCTCCCGAATGTCCGAGCTCCTCATCCTATCTCTAAGGCTGAGCCCGGCCACCCTACGGAGGAAACTCATTTCGGCCGCTTGTATCCGCGATCTTGTTCTTTCGATCATTACCCAAAGCTCATGACCATAGTTGAGGATTGGGACGTAGATTGACCGGTAAATCGAGAGCCTGGCTTTCTGGCTCAGCTCCCTCTTCACCACGACAGATCGGCTCAGCGTCTGCAGTGATGCAGGGGTGTGATTGGGACTTCCTCCCAAGTCCCAATCACACCCCTCCAGGTCATGCTGTCATTGCCCACGTGAGCATTGAAGTCCTCCAGCAGGACAATGGAGTCCCCTGGTGGAGCACTATCTAGCACTCATCCCAGGAACTCCATAAAGGGTGGGTACTCTGAACTGATATTTGGCCCATAAGCACAAACAACAGTCAGGACCCGTTCCCCGACCCGAAGGCGCAGGGAAGCTACCCTCTCATCCCCCGGGGTAAACCCCAACACACAGGCAGAGAGTCTTGGGGCTAACAAAAAACTCAGAAACGGTTGCACAACATTTTTAAATATCATCCTAACCTTTTATTTTTTAGATAAAAAAAATATTCATCTGTACTATCTGGTTTTATGTTTAACATACATTAATATGTAACACATAAAGAATAAACACCCTTCACACTGTAAAATCAGAGCTTTGAGGAATTTCTTTGACCTATCCACATGAAACCACCCAGCTGAGAACACATGCTGGTATTTAACCTGCATCGTCTCAGACAGATCCTGTCTCTGGTAAAGTCATTCAAATCAGCAACGTAGGTCAACAACAGCGCCCCCCCCCCCCCCCCCCCCCCCCCTTTCTGGTGTGTGTGTGTGTGTGTGTGTGTGTGTGTGTGTGTGTGTGTGTGTGTGTGTGTGTGTGTGTGTGTGTGTGTGTGTGTGTGTGCACCTCCTGCTTCCTCTGAAAAGGTGACACATCAGTGAAGAAGTGATAAAAGCTTTGATAAACAGGCGTGCCGATGTGTCATCTTACACACTTTAAGTTACAAAAGCAAAACAACCTGAGAACTGGACTCTTGTAGTAAATACAACTGAGTGTGTGTCTATAATATGATGGTACCTGCATATTTTACCACTTCCTCCCATGTTTTGTGAAACTACTGCTGTTGCAACATAAAGTCTATCTAATTTCACATTCCCTTCTTCTCTTGTGTTGTGAATCACTGTAGCGTAACTTCCTGTTAAAAGAAAATCATGCTTGAATGGTTTTATGATTTGGATTCATTGAAAAAGTAGCAGAACAACTTTCAGGACAACAGATTTGGTTACTTAACGTTGTTACTGTCACGTGAGATGGGCTGAGCTAATGTTTAGAGGAGGTTGCTTGTAGTGTGGCTGTGTGACCCAGACGCGGAGTGGCTGGCGTTGGGTTATACAGAGCACGCAACTTTAATCTGGGAACGGTGACACAGCGCTCGTTAAGAGCCGAGGATGAGCGGCAGTTCCGAATAAACAAGGAAGCTGACTTACTGGTGGTAGGCAGCGGGTAAAGGTATGTTTCCTGGTTTGAGGGCTGGTGAGCCTGAGAACTCGGGTCAATGTCTGGCATGGACGATGACTGAGTGATAGCTCAGCGGCGGCACTTCCGTAAATAGTCGGCATGATGACGTCGTTGAACCACGCCAGTGATGGGTATGCTGGGTAATGTAGTGCTCCGCCAGTTAGGTCCGTAGGGGGTGGTCAGGAGGAGGAGTTCGTGACAGGACCTCCTGCCCCCCCGAGGGACGGCCCCCGAAGTCCCAGGACGGCGGGCCCAGAACTCATCCAACAGGGCTGGGTTCAGAAACGAGTGAGCGGGTTCCCAAGAGCGCTCCTCCTTACTGTAACCCACCCAGTCCACCAGGTACTGCTAACCATGACCCCGGTGGCGGGCATCCAGAATCCGGCGGACAGTGTACACACGGTCCTCATCAACACAATGGGGCGGAGGCACCCGGGCCAGAGGGGTTGGAGAGGAGAGGAGACCACCGGCTTGAGCTGGGAGACATGAAGACTGGGTGAATTCTGAGAGTGGCCGGAAGGCGCAGCCGGTAAGTGACCGGATTGATGACCCTGAGCCCGCTGGTATCCTCAGATTAGCGGAGGAGAGCCACGCCTGGTCACCGGGCTGGAAGACGGGCCCTGGCCGGTGGCGGCGGTGATGTTGACGGGAGTACTCTGTGTTGGACCGGGTGATGGCCGCACGGGCCCGGATCCAGGTGAGACGACAGCGGCGGACCAGAGTCTGAGCAGCAGGGACTTCCACCTCAGGCACCTGGTGGCCGAACAGAGGGGGCTGGTACCCATAACACGTCTCGAAGGGAGAAAGACCCGTAGCAGAAGAGGTATGGAGGTTATGGGACAGTTCTGCCCACAGGAGGTAGCAGGGCT